CCAACGATGCGTTTACTGTCAGGAGCCAACGATGCGTTTACTGTCAGAAGAAGATAAAAATTAGAGCAAATGCATTTTTTGCAAATATTCAGTGTGAATGCTGAAAAAGAGCTGAAATTAGCTACAACATGCTAAAATGTAGCTGAAATTGAAGAACAAGCCTAAATTAGCAGAAGAAAATAGAAAGAACCCGTATTTGCTGAATTAAGTTTAATTAAGCAGAAATAAGCACAGAAATTAGGAAGTAAGCTAAAAATATGGCTGAGCGGTAGCTGAAAATTCAGAAAAGCTTAAACTACCAGAAGGAAGTGGAAAGAGCTGAAAGGAGCTCTAAAATGTGGAATTAGCTGAAAATGATAAAATTAGCACACAAATTGCTAAATAGCAGCTGAAATAGCAGAAAAAAATGAAACTAGCAGAAAAAAGCTGAAAGGAACACAAGATGGAATTAGTAGAAAGAAATTAATTAGGCTTAAATTAGCAGAAATTACCACAAAAAATGAAATTAATCTGAAAACAGCTGAAATGAAATGAAAATGCTATAAAGTAGCTGAAAACGTAGAACAAGCTTAAATTAGCAGAAGGTGGCAGAAAGAACACGTGTTTGCCCAATTAGGCTGAAAGAAGCAGAAATGAGCACAAAAAAGTGGAAATGATCTGATTAAAGCTTAAATTAGCACCAACAAACAGCTGAAAGCAGCTTCAGAGATTCAGAGGCGTCTTTGCTTTTTAAGCAGAAAGAAGATTAAATTACTAGAAGGAAGTAGAGAGAGCACATTTTGTTGAATTGGCAGAAAAAGCTGAAAGGAGCATAACGAGCTGAAATGATCAGAAAGAAGTTAGAAGAAGCACAAAAAGTTCATAGTTAGCAGAAAGAAACAAAGGAGTAAAAAAAAAAAACATTCTGAAAGTAGCTCAAAAAGTTTAAATTAGCTGAAATAAGCTGAAGCACAAGAAAATGTGAAAGGAACGGTAAACGGTTGTAAACAGATCTAAAGACCTGAAGGATGTAAAATGAGCTCAGTTCATTTTCTGAGGAAAAAAATGGCAGAACATGTTAAATATTTCAAAAAGCTAAAGTTGCACCAGCACCTAAAGTCGTAGAAGGATTGTCCTGAAAGAGCCGAACGTTTGGATTCATGATTTGTTGAAACGGCTGAAAACTGCGGGACGAGAATCACGTCGAGAAACGTACGGAAGAAAAAAGGATGACAGCAGTGAGTGCTTCGTGAACATTGAGCCAGTATAAGCTGAGGTTTAGGTAAAGATGTTCAGTCAGGAGAAGATGATGACTCCAGAGTGAGTGCCAACAATCCGTAACGTTCACGCACACCTGGTGGTTGTTCACAAACTGAGGTGTCGGAGCGGAGGGTCTGGGTCCAGCCGGTCTGAGCGCCTCCTAACCAGTGTTTGTGGTCTGGACATGGTTACGAGCTGCGCACGAGAAAATCGACCCAACTTGCTCAAAATGCAGCTGCGTGACTCGTTCGAAACGGTCGGCATGTTCTGACGCAACAGAACGTTCGCCTTTTCTAGAATTTTAATTCTGAGTCCAGGGCGAGTCTCGACCAAGCTCCGCATCAGAGCGGACGTTCGTTCGTCAGTTTAACTTCTTCTGGTTTGAGCTCCCTGATAAACCAACAAAATGTTACACCTTCATGGTTTGAGGAAACTAGAAGGACTCTGTTGGGGACAGAAGACGAGTTGGACCAAAGGCCGAGACTTCAGACAGAAAATGACCGGATGTTCTTGTCGTCCTCCTCAGAGGTCACGGCTCGAGAGCACGGCTCCAACAAGAAGCTGGCGGCCCAGTCGTGCGCCCTGTCCGTGGTGCGACAGCTGTACCACCTGGGAGTCATCGAGCCGTACAGCGGGGTCACCAAAAAGAAGGAGGGGGAGACGGTAAGAGCCCAGCCGAGCACACACTGATGGTTCTGTCAGGGGGATCTTAAAAACCACGAGACCAAGGAACACTAGCACCAGAAACCATTGAGTTTTACACAAACGGTTAAAGTGGAGCTCTGCAAACATTCAGAAGCCGAGGCTCCGAACGGTTCTGCTACAAATGTCTGAACAACTGTGGTGAACTCTGACTCAACTTTGTAGACGTATAGTCAGGACTTCATTTGAGCCGGATCCTGCTGGAACAGGATCCGGGAACTCCCTTACTTCGACCGGGTGCGTTCCAGCAGCTGTTTGCTTGATCTGGCAACTCAAATCTCCGCTCCTAAAAGTCCAGAGTCATTGCACATTTTTATTAAAAAACTTCAAAATATAATTAAACAGCACAACAACACTGCACATCAGTTTGACACTTTAAGTGGGTTATTGATAAAAATTTGATTATTATTCACATGACGTCACGTATGAAAACAACGGCACTAATTTTCCTAAATCAGAGCGATGGAATGTAGAAAAGACGGTCCAGTTTACGTTAATTGAAAATGGTTGGATGGTTCTTAGTTGGACAACCACGAACTGAAGCACCTGGGCAGGAGCAACGACGCGCAGGACTGAATTCAGTGGAGAAGAGTCGGGCTTGAAACCTTGAAGTGGGGGGGCGGGGGGGTTAGGACGTTCGACAGAAGCAGAGCTGCTCTTTTTACGTACGAGGAGAGAGTTGTTGTTGCTCTCTAAAATATTGTTTACAAATGTTGAACAGCCCCTTAAAATACACCAAAATGCAGAAAACGATCCAAAATTTTCTGAGGGAGGACCCACAGACTGCCCCCCCACACACACACACACACACACACACACAACCCCCTCATATCATCGCAGTACAGGTGTCCCACATCTTTAACCTGTCCAGAAGACAAAAATCCATTCCAGACTTCTGGAAAACAGCCTTTGTTCTGCCCCTGCTGAAGGGAGGAGACCCCACCTCCATCTGTACGCCTCTTGTGATTGTCCACTGTTGTCTTTGTTGTCCACTGTTGTCTTCAGTCTTTGTTAAAAGGAGGTGTCTCTTGTGAAGGCGTCCCCGAGGACCAGTGGATCGATGAAGCTTGAGTGAATGCTCAGTGTGTCCCGTCAACGTTGCCGTCATGTTTCCCTCAAAGTTGCTGTATTTGTTGAGCTCACAAGAATTGATCAGTTGAATCTGAGCCTTTTGAACGGAACCACATTGAAGTGAATTAAATGAATCAAACAGTGGTGGAATATGTGACGCTGTCGTTGTGTGTTCTGTCTCCAGTTGGACGTCTACGAGGTCGGCGTGTCTCCAGAACTGCAGCAGCAGTTGGCCGGTGTCGTCCAGGCGCTCGAAGTTTTTGTCCCGTCTCCTGTGAGTCGCTTTAAATCCAAACACCTGTACCCTCACCATCACTGCTCCTCTTCATCATCCATCTTTTCCCTCTTCTGGGGTCTCCACGGAGTCCTCCTTGTCTGTCCTCTGTGTCCTCTGTCCTCACTCCAACTACCTCCATGTCCTCTCTAACTGCATCCATGTGTCTCCTGTTTGTCTTTTTCCTGCAGCTGCATTTCTAACATCCTTCTACCAATATACCCACTGTCCCTCCTCTGGACATGTCCAGACCACTGTCCCTCCTCTGGACATGTCCAAACCACTGTCCCTCCTCTGGACATGTCTAAACCACTGTCCCTCCTCTGGACATGTCTAAACCACTGTCCCTCCTCTGGACATGTCCAAACCATCTGTTTGTCTCTAACGGTTTCTCCCAGTTTGAGCTGGGCGATATTTAACTTGTGATAGAAGATGAGACTGTATTGACAGTAAACGATATAGTGTACTTTAAAATCCGCCTGCTGCTGTCTCTTTGTCCTACGCGTCCCCTCATCTCCTTCACTGGTTCCCAGCCCCCCCCCCCCTCCCATTAGCTGCTCTCCCAGTTGGGCCAGCACGTAGCTTTCACAGAGCAGCTGGTGGGCAGGAGATAACAAATGGCTGGTGTTTGGACATGGTTTGGATTAAAACTGTCAGATTAGCAGCAAGGCTTTCTGTAGATGAGAACGAAAGGTCGGAACAACGAATCTGTCTCCGTTTAAAACGGGTGCAGCACGAAGAGCGTTAAAGGTGGTGCTGCAGCTCCACCATGTGAAGTTAGCCGTCTTTAGCCTCTAAGGACCAGAACAGCTGCTGCTGCTTGATGTCTCACTGGAACACCTGACAATCTGTGGACGGCCGCTCTTTTTCTGCCTGTCCAACCTCACGCAGCCTGCTGCTCCTGCTGCTCCTCCTGCTGCTCCTGCTCCTCCTGCTCCTCCTGCTCCTCCTCCTCCTGCTCCTCCCTCACTGCAGCTTCTCACTCTTACTAACGTCATGAAGGAGGCGCAGCTGAAGACGATTATTTAACATATGCAGATTATTTATTCTTTAGACGTTGGTGTTGTAGCGTTACGGCTGTTGATAAATGTCTGTGGGACAAACTTTGACTCAAATATATTTTTGTTACTTTATGGAAAATAAAAATAACAGCTACAGTTCGTATTTTGTCATTTATCTTAAAAATGTTGAGATATTAAATTTGGTCCATATCGACCAGAGGACAGTATGTTGTAGGACCTCTACAGACCTCAGACTCGGTCCACGGGACCTCAGACCTGGTCCACGGGACCTCAGACCTGGTCCACGGGACCTCAGACCCGGTTCAGTCTTGTTAAAGGTTGTCCCTGAAGTTCTGCCGAGTCCTCAAATCTTTTGTTGTTTGCAGCCCTCAGACCCCAGCTGCCCCGTGTCTCTGGTCCAGGGGAAGATGGCCACCTTCGAGCCGTCACAGCGGCAGAGTGGTGCCGGCGTCGTCCCCTGGTCCCCGCCCCAGGTCAACTGGAACCCCTGGACCAGCAGCAACATCGACGAGGGGCCTCTGGCCTTTGTGAGTCCAGCTGTTCGATTTGGTGTCTGGTTGATTTGAACGTTGGTTCGTAAACGTGCGCTCTCACCTCCTCAGTGCACTCCAGAGCAGATCAGCGGGGACCTTCACAATGAGCTGATGTACCAGCTGGAACACGACCAGAACCTGCAGACGGTCAGCCTCTCCTTTCACACGTCAGGTGTTAGAGGCCCGGCTTGATGTTAAAACAGAACCGTGTCCTTCAGATCCTGTCGGAGCGCGACCAGCTGCCCGTCAAACAGTTCGAGGAGGAGATCATGGCGGCCATCGACCACAACCCCGTGGTGATCATCAGAGGGGCCACGGGCTGCGGGAAGACCACGCAGGTCCCTCAGTACATCTTGGACCGCTTCGTCAAGTCGGGCCGAGCGTCCGACTGCAACATCGTGGTTACCCAGGTAACGCTCGGGGTGGTTCCGTTGGGTCCAGAAAGGAGCTGGGCTCAGTTCCTGTTGCGTCAGTTCTTTGTGAGGTCAACCTGATTCTGCCCCCAGCCCAGACGGATCAGCGCCGTCTCCGTGGCCGAGCGGGTCGCCTACGAGAGAGGAGAGGATCTTGGGAAAAGCTGCGGCTACAGCGTTCGCTTCGAGTCCATCCTGCCTCGGCCGCACGCCAGCATCCTCTTCTGCACCGTCGGTACGTCAGTGACCCGCCGGGTCCGGTCCCGCAGAACCATTTCAGTCCCAACTGGGTCCTCCAGGTCATGTTTCAAACCTGGAAGTCCTGTTCTTCAGACTTCAGACACATTTTTGTAGAACGTTTGGCCGTCAGAGCGCTAACGTCCACCGTGTGTTTCAGGCGTTCTTCTGAGGAAGCTGGAGGCAGGAATCAGAGGAATCAGCCACGTCATCGTGGACGAGATCCACGAGAGAGACCTCAACGTGAGTTCACCCATCAGAACCTTTCCAGAGAAACCAAACGGGTCCGAGTCGTGTTTCTGTTTCTGCAGACGGACTTCCTCATGGTGGTCCTCAGGGACGTGGTCCAAGCCTACCCCGAGGTGCGAGTCGTGCTGATGTCGGCCACCATCGACACCACCATGTTCAGGGAGTACTACTTCAACTGTCCCATCATCGAGGTGTTCGGACGCACCTTCCCTGTCCAAGGTACGCACCTGAGCAGGAAGCTCTGACGCACCAAGGAGTTTTATTCCACTCAACAAGTGTGGGTCCTGCAGCTGAGAGAACTGGTCTCCCTGTGGCTCTTTCAGAGTACTTCCTGGAGGACTGCATCCAGATGACCAGCTTCATCCCTCCACCCAACGACCGCAAGAGGAGAGACAAGGACGAGGAGGGCGGAGAAGACGATGTACGAGCCTTTATCTAGTCTCTGGTGGTCCGTCAGGGTCTGAGTGTGGATGTGTTTGGAGTCAGACCTGAGGTTTTCTTTGATCCGGACCCCTCTGATCTCAGTCCAACCTTCTCCCTGCAGACCAACTGTAACCTGATCTGTCAGTCGGACTACACGGTGGAGACAAAGCGCTCCATGGCTCAGATCAACGAGAAGGAGACGTCCTTCGAGCTGGTGGAGGCTCTGCTGAAGTATATCGAGACGCTGAAGGTGTCCGGAGCGGTTCTGGTCTTCCTGCCGGGTTGGAACCTGATCTACGCCATGCAGAGACACCTGGAGACCAGCCCACACTTTGGTACCTGGAATCATGGGAAAACTCCTGCAGTCTCATCTCGCCCGTCAGGCTTGGTGTGATGCCATCTTCTGTGTTCTCCATCTTGTTTCAGGAAATAGCCGGTACCGGATCCTGCCGCTGCACTCTCAGATCCCCCGGGAGGAGCAGAGGAGGGTGTTTGAACCGGTTCCTGATGACGTCACGAAGGTCAGTGTCAGAAGGCCGGCGGTGGTTTCATTTGATGCTTAGAGCTCTGACATGGCTCTGATGTTCCAGGTCATCCTGTCCACCAACATCGCAGAGACCAGCATCACCATCAACGACGTGGTCTACGTCATCGACTCCTGCAAGTGAGTTGTGCGTCTGAGCGCCGGGTCAGGTCTGAGGGTCTGAGCTGGAGGTTAAAGGTCACGCCATGTTGGTCCCAACAGGCAGAAGGTGAAGCTCTTCACCTCCCACAACAACATGACCAACTACGCCACCGTCTGGGCCTCCAAGACCAACCTGGAGCAGAGGAAGGGCCGAGCCGGCAGAGTCCGGCCCGGTTTCTGCTTCCACCTGTGCAGCCGGGCTCGCTTTGAGAGGCTGGAGACCCACATGACCCCAGAGATCTTCAGGACCCCACTGCACGAAGTGGCTCTGAGCATCAAGCTGCTGAGGCTCGGCGCCATTGGACACTTCCTGTCCAAGGCCATCGAGCCGCCGCCGCTGGACGCCGTCATCGAGGCCGAGTACACCCTGAGAGGTAGGTGGGGTTCTGAGGTCCAGCCGGTCGCCAGCCTGTGTGAGAACAGGTCAAAGGTCACCAGGCAGATCATAACCTGCTGCTGTGAGCCTCGGGACTCACGTGGCTCAAACTGTCTGAGCTCTAAACTCCTGAAACGGGTCTGGTTCTGATCCGAGGCCAGCAGGCGAGCAGAGTGGGTCTGGTTCTGACAGTTACAGGCTCATCATTCAAAACAAAACTCTTTGATTGGTTCAACAAAGTTAAGTCAGGTCCTCTGGATGGCTTTACTGTGTTGAGAGACGTTTCGTCCTTCATCCAAAGGACTTCTTCAGTCCGAGGAACCACAAAGTCAGTCCCACAAGCAGCACACTCGCGTAGTGAACCAAACAGTTTGCTGGTGATAAGATGGTTTCTGGGGCCCGTCGGCTCCTCTGAGGCCGCCATAACCAGAGCGGTTCAAAACATCAAAGTTCATGCTCAAATATCCAACAACGGATTGATGAAGTGCTTTGGATGAAGGACGAAAAGTCTCAACAAAAAAGAAAAAACATCCAGATGACCTGACTGAACTTTTTATCTGGATTATTGATCATGAACTTTGATATTTGATTGGTTTTAAAATTCTGGCTTAAACATTAAAAACATAAATTACAAAAGCGGATGAAGTTTAGTTTTGGTGCCAAATCAGGTGCTTTTCTATCCGTGGATCTCGAATCAATGTGCATTAATTAATTTATTGTGCTCCTTTAAATTAAAGTGAAATTAACAAACATTTTAAACCTTCAGTGAACTTCAGTGTGCACGTGGGTGACGACGGTGCGACCTGAAGGATCTGATCTGAACCCGAGCATGTTCTCTGGTTGGACTTGTGTGCAGGTCGTAGTTTGTCCATCACAAGCGCCACGTTCCAACATCAGGGTGTCCATACGTGCACGTGGCACCAGGACGCCCAAGGTCGTAGATCCATGATTGACTTCATAGTCGAGTCATCTGATTTGCAGCCATTTGTTTTGGACACTCGGGTGAAGAGAGGAGCGGAGCTGTCAGCTGATCACCACCTGTAGTGAGGTGGATCAGATGGTGGAGGAAGATGCCGGACAGACCTGGTAGACCCAAACACGTCGTAAGGGTTTGCTGGCAACACCTGGCAGAAGAACCCGTCATCCAGTGGACTCATGATCTTTAATTGAGACCAGACTTTTTGACAAATGGAGCAGGTTTCTCTTCAGATGCTTCATATTTCATTGTACCCAGACCAGACTCACCTGTGTCAGGTGCAGCTACAACCCAAGGACTGAAGACGATCTTCTTGTGTTTGACAGCAGATTTAATGCTGGTTCTTAAAAACCTTCAGTTTTAAAAAGAGCTGATGTAACTTAACTAAAGAGCAGCAGATACAGCTGCCAATCAGTGTCTGTCCTTTAGAAACGCCCACTTATAGTCTGCAGAGGTCCCCTTCTCTGTCCAGGAGAGACTCGGAGAAGAACCGCTGCTCCTCCGCATTGAGAGGAGCCAGTTGAGGTGGTTCAGACATCTGGTAAGGATGCTCCCTGGGCGCCTCCCTAGGGAGGTGCTTCAGTCATGTCCCACTGGGAGGAGACCCCGGGGAAGACCCAGGACACACTGGAGAGACTACGTCTCTCAGTTGGACTGGGAACACCTTGGAATCCTCCCAGAAAAACTGGAAGAGGCTGTGGAGAGAGATGTCTGGACCTCCCTGCTCAAGATGCTGCCCCGAGACCTGAGTCCAGAACAAGATGAAGATGATGGATGAATATTTCTTTAAAAGTTGAAACAGCAGCAGGTTCCTGTTAATTAGGGGAGTGGTGGCGCAGAGGTTAGAGAGAAGGGCCTGTGATCCGAAGATCGCCGGTTCACACCCCGGCCCCGACAACATCAAAATTGTGGGTGGGGTAGGTGAACCACCCACAATTTGCCCCCACCCTCATTCACCCCACTCTGGGCCCATGAGCAAGGCCCTTAACCACCACCATGTGCTCCCTAAACAGGTCTCTGTTGAAAATGAGTTCTTGTGGCTCAATGAGACTACCTGAGATTATAACAAGTTATTAACGAGAAATAAGATTATAACAAGTTATTAACGGGAAATAAGATTA